CGGGGGATGGGCAGGGAGCAGGTGTTCCTGAGGAAGGCGCGGGCCCCTGGGGGTGGCTGCCAGCAGGGCCCACACTCTGCCCGGGAAATGGCTTCAGTGGTGATTAGGGGTGGCAGGGCCACCTCCGCAGGGACACGCAACGCATTCACAGACCCTCCTGCCCCCGGTATACAGGAGCTCCGGCTTCTACCAGCTTTCAAAGGGCTGTGACCCCCCCCCTCAATTTGAAGGATCTCCCCTCAATTTAAGACTCTGCCATCTGTTCCCTCACGTGGGAGGTAAGCAGCCTCTCCTGGGGCACTGGCTCAGTCCCAGTCTGGGGGTGGCCAGGGCACCCCGGAACACGCCCACTTCTCCCAGTGGACGCCCAGATGGGAGAAATAAAACTGCATGGGAGTCGCCGGCGAGCGAGCCCGAGAACGCGACTTCCGCCCCGTCTAGGATCGCTCCCAGGCCTTCCCCTGTGCCGTGAGTCACTGCCCGAGTTCACTCGGCCACACCGGAGCTCTAGGGAATACAGCGAGTCTATTCTGCGTGATGAGGCGGGCATGGGGTGGAGAAGGTCTTTAAGACGCATCATGTGTGGGGCTGGAGCGATAGCACAGCGGGGAGGGCGTTTTTCTTTCACGCAGCCAAACCCAGGTTTGATCCCCGGTATCCCATAGGGTCCCCCAAGCACCACCAGGAGGAGTGCTGAGTGATTCCTGAGTGCAGAGCCAGGAGGAACCCCAGAGCATCGCTGGGTGTGACCCAAAAAGTAATAAATACATACATAAAAATAAAACGCATCATGTGTGAGCCAGGGAGATCGTCTTAGGGTGGAAACGCGGGCATACTGCCACAACCCTGTTCCATCCCGGGCACCACACAGGAATCCCTGTGCACAGAGCCAAACACCGAGCGCGGCGGAGTGTGGCCCAAAGACTGAAACACTAAAAAACAAACAAAAGACAAATTTATCAGCACCCAGGGGGTCGCTCCGTGGCCAAGCACAAGCTTCCAAGCGCGAGGCTGTGAGTTGGAGCCTCAGGACCTTGCCCGCGTGCCGAGCGCAGCCTGCAGCCGTGGGGGACGCCCTCGCCTCCTTCACAAGCACGAGAAGTGTGGGGAAGGAGCACAGCTGAAGAGTGAGCACGTGTGAGCATGTGTACACGCACCGCGCCGGGTGTGCAACAACCCCCACTCACTGCAACCAAAGCTGGTGAGAGGGATGGGATGGGGGGGAAGAAAAGGAGGAAAAAAAGACGTAATTGACCAAAACTGACTCCAGCAGAAATAGAAAGTGTGAATGGCCCAAGTTCCACAAGAAATACAGAATAAGCCACAGCACAGCGGGCCACGGAACAGCAGGCCACGGAACAGAAGCCATGGCACAACAGTCCACAGCACAGCAGGCCACGGAACAGCAGGCCACGGAACAGCAGGCCACGGAACAGCAGGCCACGGAACAGAAGCCATGCACAACAGTCCACAGCACAGCAGGCCACGGAACAGCAAGGCCCCAGGGCCACATGGCTTCCGGGAGCCCCAGCCCAGACTCACAAATCAAGACATTCTCTTCGCCACTATCCCTACCTTGCTCCTGAGCACAGAAATAAACCCCCAGCCTGACAACACGCCAGAAAGCTCATCCCAGACACAGCCCTCCTGACTCCTGCTGAAAGGAACCCCAAACATCACGAAGCAGGCCAGCACCACGGTACAGAAATAAGTAACGCCGTATCCCATGCAGAAGAGCTCGCTCTTTTTTTCTTTTTTGGTCACACCCAGCAATGCTCAGGGGTTCCTCCTGCCTCTGCACTCAGGAATTACTGCTGGTGGTGCTTGGGGGACCATATGGGATGCCAGGGATCGAACCCTGGTCGGCTGCGTGCAAGGCAAATGCCCGACCCACTGTGCTATTGCTCCGGCCCCCAGAAGAGCTCGCTCTTTGCGGATCTACTGAGACTCGGCCTGTTCAGAGATCCAAGAAGAAATTCCTACTTTCCCGTAGAGGCCGAGAAGACTCGGGGAATAACTCCTGCTAATAAAAACCCTCGAGAAAACAGGCCGGAAGGACACCCCTTCTCCTAAGGTACCCCCCATCCCACCCCTGGAGGCAACTCCAGGTGTGCTCGCGTGCATGGGTGAGTTGGAAGAGGGGAGGGCGCCGACCCTCACAGTGCACCCCTGGGAGTCACTGGTGCAATTGGGGTCCCAGCAGGGCTCCAGCCTGGTGTGGCTCCCAATCCAGCCCCCCTGGGCGCCAAGCTGGATGAGTGAATCCACGGCAGCCCACCAACCTCGCCTCGTTCCCCGAGGGCCAAGATAAGGCGTGTGGAAAGCGCCAGCCTCAGATTGGGGACCCGTCTGCAGGGCTAAGTGGGTGAACCCCATGGGGAGGCCATGATGCGCCCCTCGCCTAGAGCAAGCCGGTCTGGAGACTGACTGCCACGCCGACACGCCACGCAGATCCGTGACACTCCAGTGTGGGGTGGTACCCGACCCCTTCTAATCTGCTGCGGGGTCTCTCGCCAGGGAGCAGCGAGGGTCCCACACCCCAGACTCACATGCAGACATGGGGGACGCTGCCCATGCAGCTGCTCTGCCCCCAGGAACAGGCCTCTGCCTCTCTGCCTCGTGGGTGGGGCTCCCTGGGAAAAGGGCTGGGGCACCTGCACTGACCTTACCAGGAACAAAGGCCAGCAGTGAGCGAGGACGGGGGTGCAGTGGGGGTGTGCAAGGAAGCAGACCCGGGTGCCCGCACTAACATCTGGGGAGGCCAGCGCCAGGCCCCCAGCTGGGACCTCTTGCAGGAACCTCTCGGGGTTCACACGGCCCGTCTTGGCCTAAGCCAGGATGTCAGTGAGCGGCCGAGTGCCAGGCCAGAATCAGGGGTACACCTCCTGCTTCTCCCGCTGCACAGCACAGCCAGACCCCTTCCCAAGGAGTCACTGGCTGAAGCCACCGAGATGTCCCCCCAGGCGGCAGCCCCCAGTGAGACCACACCCACAGTCTGCACAGGTCTGATGCCGGGTCTGATGCAGGAAGAAACTGCCCCTCCCTCTCCCCAAAATCATCACTCCATCCCCCCCCCACCGGGGAGAAAGATACCCAGAGGGCCCCCATGGGATATCTCTCCCACTCAGCTTCGACAATCAGCCTCCGAATTGCCACGGTCGCCAGAGGAAACCCAAGGCTGGTGAGATCCGCCTAGAACACGGGCATCATCTGCTTGCAAACTTGGGTCAGGATCAGCTGGGCAGAGCACCCACACACAGGCCCCGCGGGGCGCTGGGGATTTCAGGCTCTCCGGCTCATCTTTACAACTTTTCTGGACATCCGGCGCAGTCCCACCAACGACTATTAATTTTTGCAAAAGAGAGAGGGGGGCTTTAAAAAATTAAAAAAAAAAAAGATTGCAGGTTTTTCCTGTGGTCATTTAGACACCCATCTGGCATCCACCAGGTACCACTTGCCAAGAAAAATTATACAAAGCACCTCCCCTCCAATTTGGCTTGGAAACTATTCCCAGGAAATCTCCCCCGCACCCCTGAGAGAGAGAGAGAGACAGAGACAGAGAGAGACAGAGAGAGAGAGAGACAGAGAGACAGAGGGAAAGAGAGAAATAATAAAACCCCACTGATTGTGAATCTGGAAGGGTGTAAGTATTAGTTCCTTGCAAACATGACTTTGATCTTCGGCGGCAGAGAAGGGAGGGCCGATTCCTAATTGTGCCTTTCAAAGCCGGGGATGGGATCCAGATGCAACTGGAGCCGGCCTCTTCCCGGCTAATCATTTCCAGCTCGGCCCGATCCTGGAGGTTGAGGAACCCAGTGCTCGGGGTACCCAAGGGAGGGGGACCCCCTGAAGGTGAGGCCAGGCCGGGATGGAAGGAAAGTGAAAGTTCCAGGGCCACGTGGGGGAAGCCTCGAGCCCCCAGTTGGGTAGGGGCGGGGGGAGGGGAGGGATGGGTCATCCCAGGGGGCTGCACCCAAGGCGGCCCCTCCCTCACTCCCCCCACCCCCGCACGCGTGGATGTGCCCGGTTTTCGGAAGTCACTCCAAGCTCCCTCGCACGCTCCCTCTCGCACGCTGGCTGGCCGGGCTCCAGCGGGGAGGACCGGGCTGCCAGCCCCCCCACCCCCACCCCCACCCCCGGGGCTGACAGAATCAGGAAGCCTGGTGGTTGGGGTTTTGTTTTTTGTTTTTTGTTTTTTTCCAAGAACAACCTGCTAACCAGCAAAAAATACACTGAGGTTCGGGGCTGGGGGGACGTGACCCCTCCTCCCTCTGACTCCGGCTCCTGATAAACACCCGAGATGAGAGATGGGCCGGGGTGAGCCCGGGAAGTCCCCAGCGCCCCTTCCTGCCACCCGAGAGCCCCGTGTCCGCTCCCCACAGCCCCAGCCAGCTGGCATGGGACCCTCCCAGAGAGGCCCGGCGCCTTACACACACACACACACACACACACACACACACACACCAGCACCAGGACCCAGAGAGTTCTGGGTCATGCTCACATGGCCCGGGAGGGGGCCCTGGGCCAAGCAGCCGCTACCGCTGCAGAGCAGAGCCCGGGAGGAAATGGGCGTCACTGCAGCGCCTCAGAGCTGCCCACACCCGCCACCCCGCTGACAGCTGAAGCCCCCCAGCCCCCCCCACGCCCCTCCCCCACCAGCCCGTTCCTCAGCGCTCACCCTCTGCCCCGAACACACTGCCACCCCCCACCCCCAACCCGGACCACCACCACCTTCGAGGTGACCAGTGCTGCTCCGGGAGGAGTCCCAGCAATGACCACTGACCCCTCCAGGACAAGAGGGGGCCTCGGCCCTGCCTCCTGCCCACCCTCTCACCTGGGACAGGCAGCCCCACCACACACACTTGGAGACACCCTCTCTCCCCCCCTCCCCGGGGAAATGTGACATCTGGAGCCCAGAGGGGCCCTGTGTCCACTCCCCCCGGGACCCCCGTCCCAGCACGGCTGGGCAGGGGGGCGGGCCGGGGGCGGCCCCCACCGACCTGGCAGCAAATAGTCATAGTCATAGTCGAAGAGGATGGAGAAGTCCAGCTCGTCCTGGGAGCTGCCCCCGGGCTCGCGGCCCGGGCCGTCCCCGCCGTCGGGGTCCGGCTGCGGCTGGAGGGCGTCCATGCCGCACGCGGGCGGGCGGGCGGGCGGGCAGGCCGGGCGGGCTGCGGGGCGGCGGTGGCGGGCGCGGGGCGCGGGGCGCGGGGCGCGCGGGGCCGGGCGGCGGCGGGCCGGGGCGCGGAGCGGGCGGCGGGGCTTCCTGCTCGGGGAAGGCACCTGTTGCGCCCCGGGGACGGGAGGCGGGGCCGGGGCGGGGCGCCGCGGGCCGGGGCGGGCGCGGCGGGCGGGGGCCGGCCGCGGGGAACCGGGCCCAGCTGCCCGCGCCCGCCTGGCCTCGCCCCGCCGGGCCCCGGGTCGGTCGCCTGCCCCGGCACCTTCTCCCCGGCCCTGGCCGCCTCGGGGTGAATTGCCGGGGTGAGTCTCCAGCAGCACCCTGGAACCACCACCCCCCCCAACCGCCTCCAGGTGGGTTCCCGCCCCCCACGGGAAGGAGCCCCAGGCCCTCCAAACTATGGAAAGGGGCCTTGCCTCTGAGCCCCCCGCCTCGTCCCCTACCCGGGTGGACCCCCGGGATGAAGGCTGGAGGCCTCTGCCGGCCGCGCGGGTCAGGAGGGCCTCTGGGAAGGGGCCTGGCCAGTCCCGCAAGCGTCTGAAGGTGCAAGGGTCCTGGACATTGCGCGGCCTGGCAGGGGCGGCCACGTCTGTCCATGCATCTGTGCGCCGGCCCCAGGCCAGGAAACACGGGAATGCGCGTTTTTAAACAAGCGCTCAAGGGGATTGATTCCAACAGTCTGCGGGACGCCCCCTGAGAGCCCGCATGTCCACTCCGCGCGGTGCAAGGCCGTGGGGTCAGTAGATCTGCCGAGGCAGATACGGTGCTTGGAACGGCCCAGGCACGAACTTGGGTCGGAACTCCGGCCTAGGCTGCTCCAAGCCCACTGAGCCCGCAGAACCCAAGTGACTGTGAAAGTGACCACGTGTGGGCAGCTGGCCAGGGAGCCCCCCCAAGGTGTCTCCGAGCCACCCCTTCACCCCTAAGACCGCTGGAAATCTGAGTGTCAGGTAGAAGCCCCACACGGAGACAGGACTCTCCGCATACACAGTCAGCGTTGGAGAAAATCACTTTGCTTTAAGAAATCAGGGGGCTGGAGCGATAGCACAGCGGGTAGGGCGTTTGTCTTGCACGTGGTCGACCTGAGTTCGATTCCCAGCATCCCAAATGGTCCTCTGAGCACCGCCAGGAGGAATAATTTCTGAGTGCAGAGCCAGGAATAACCCCTGTGCACTGCAGAGTGTGACCCAAAAAGCAAAAAAAAAAAAAAAATCAGAATTCCACAGAATCAGGAGCGTCCAGTGTGTGGCCAGGGGCGCGACCAGGGCTCCAGACCCAAATGCCAATTCAGCACACCCTGCCCCCCATTAGCGATCAGCCAACTTTGAGTTTGGGGAAGTGCGTTCTGGTTGTCAGAGCTGCAAGAGGGCCCTGATGATTTTTTTTCCTTTTTTTTTCTTTCTGGGTCACACCCGGCGATGCTCAGGGGTGACTCCTGGCTTTGCACTCAGGAATCACTCCTGGAAGTGCTCCGGGGACTATATGGGATGCTGGGGATCGAACCCGGGTCGACCGCATGCAAGGCAAACACCCTCCCTGCTGTGCTATCGCTCCAGCCCCTGAATTATTTCTTTATTTCTGATTGTGGGGGGTCACACTCAGCAGTCTTCAAGGATGATTCCCAGCTCAGTGCTCCCGGAGTGCTCCAGAGACTAGGCAGCACCAGGGGTCAAACCCAGGGTTCTCACCAGCAAAGCCTGTGCTCCTCCCCTCTGCACCCTCCTCCCTAGAAATCCTCTTTTCATAAGCGGAGCTATGGGTGGGTCGTGCCCAGTTAGGGCTCTTAAGGGGTAGCTAAGGAATGTTGGCAGCGAAGGTCACCAGCAGCATGGCCCAGCTCGGACACCAAGAGCCCAGTATCCCAAAGGAGCTGGATATTCTCGGGGCTGATAACAAGCCCCCAGGCTGAAATACTCAAAGGCGCTGGAACCCCAAAACTACAGAGTGGAAAGAACTAGGGGTCATTGTCACGTGCCCCTTCTCATCCCCACCCATTATGATGAAATGCCTCTAGGCTGGTGGACAGGGGCTGTTTGGCCACCCCCAAATCACCCTCTCTTCTGATAATGGCACTTTGGGACACGCCTCTTGACGAGGCTTGGTAAAACTCTCAACCAAGCTGTTCCCTGCTCTGCTGGCAATGAAACAGAAGATTGACCCAGCCTTGGTGAATCAAAGCACCTCAGGCCCAGGATTTAGCTCCAGGGGTTGAGCACATGCTTTGAGAGACCGCCAGGCTCCATCCCTAGCACCCTGTACTGCCAGCAGTGTCCCCAAAGTTAATAAGAAGAATCACTGTCACTGTCACTGTCCTCCCGTTGTTCATTGATTTGCTCGAGCGGGCCCAGTAACATCTCCATTGTGACACTTGTTACTGTGTTTGGTATATCAAATACATCACGGGGAGCTTGCCAGGCTTTGCCGTGCGGGCGAGATACTCTCGGTAGCTTGCCGGGCTCTCCGAGAGGGGCGGAGGAATCGAACTCAGGTCGGCTATGTTGGCTGCATGCAAGGCAAATGCCCTACCACAGTGCTATCGCTCCAGCCCAATAATAATAATAATAATAATTCAAAATTCTATGAGGTTCACTTATGCAGGTCATGACCACTTCATTCATTCCCACCGTATAGACAGGGAACGGGGAAGTAGGTGGATGAATGGATGGATGGGTGGGTAGATGGGTGGCTGGATGGGTGAATGGGTGTGTGGATGAATGGGTGTGTGGATGAATGGGTGTGTGGATGGATGATGGGTGATGGATGGATGGATGGATTGCTGGGTGGATGGATGGATGAGTGGGTGGATGGATGAATGGATGGGTGGGTGGGTCGATGGTAGATGGATGGATAGGTGGGTGGATGAGTGGATGGATGGAAGGGTGGGTTGTTATAGCCATGGAGGATGGATGGAAGACTGGATGGATGGATAAGCATATGGATGGACTTTGTGCGGATCTCCAGTGACACTAGGCCCACGGGACCAGCAGCTCATTGCAAGGCCTGAGGACACAATAAGAAGGACCAAGGACCACCTGGCCACCCCAGTAATGCTCAGGCTCCAAGGCTACACCCAGCGATGCTGGGGGCACCACCCGGTGTGGGAACCAATGGACTGGCCCTGTGCAAGGCTGTGCCTCAACCCTGCACTGCCCCCCACCCCCCGGCCCTGGCTGAATGCTTTGGCAGAGGACGGCTGAATGAGTGGAAGAAGGATGGAAGGATGTTCCAATGTGGGATGGAGAGATAAAGTGAGTCCGACTCTCCCGGTGTAATAAGATCCTTCGGTTTCTCTTTCAGAGTCCTCATCCCTGAGAGTTCCCTGGGCCACCCGACCTCAGGGCAAGAACCTCAATTCCTCCCACCTCCCACGTCGGGTTAAGAAACTCGGGAAGGTGAAATGAAAAGGGGAAGATCCCTTTACACAGAAAGGATGAAATGGTCCAGAAACTTGAGTCTGAGGAAGGATGCTGCAGAACGTTCTAGAGAAGACTCCAGCCACCTCTGTTGGAACTCAGAGCAGTGAAGATGGGGGAGCCGCCCCCAGGGGTCTCTGTGCTGGGGGGTTGCTCCTGGCGCTACTCCAGGGACCGTGAACCCAGGCCTCCTGCAGGCTGAGTTCAGGCTCGACCCACTGAGCGTCCCTCTAGCTCTGGAGAGATATTTGCTCTTTTCTTTCTTTTTGTTTTTAAGGCTCGGATGGGGGATTTTATGACAAGGGCCGAGGCAATCAGAGGTCCTCAGGGGCGGGATGCAGAGCAAGTGCCACCCGGGGGCTGGCCGGATCTCTGCAGCACAGTGCGAAATAAGAAGGTTTTATTCTCCAAAGGTCACCTTGAAGGGGGGGCTTGGGGCTGGGGGCAAGAGACAAACTCCATTCCGAAAGAAATCATTTGTGTTCTTAGGAGCAAGGGCCAGGGGCAGAAAGCTTGGCCTCGGGGCGGAGGGCCTTGCCCGGGCAGCTCGGGCGGGCGGCCTTCTGTGTCCCGCAGCTGACCTCCCGTGGCCTCGCCCACACTGGGTGCAGAAGCCGCCCAGGCAGCCTGGGCACCGCGGCCGGCGCTGACCCTGGCCCGGGAGGCAGCTTAGCTCCACAGCGCCCCCACAGGGCAGAACGGGATACTGCAACCAGCTGGGGAAAGGCGCCGACGGGCCGGGAGGCTGAGATAGGCAGAGGACTGGGGTCCTCCTGGGGGCGGGAGGGGAGCGCTCCTCAGCTGAGACCGCGGGCTCAGTGGCAGTTAGTTGGGCCCGGAGGTGCCAGGCCCGTGGTGCAGACCAAGGTCCTGAGGCCACAGGAAGGCTGAGGTTGGAAGCTCAGCAGAGAGAAGCCTGGAATGAGGGGCCAGGTTGCCGGGGTGCCGGGATGACGAGGGGGATGGGGTGTCGGGGTAACGGGGTGACGGGTGACAGGGCTGCAGCACACTGCAAGGCAAGAAGTCTCTGGGTCCTTTGTTTTGTTTTTCTTTGGGGGCCACAGCAGGCGATGCTCAGGGCTTACTCCTGGCTCTGCACTCAGGGATCACTCCTGGTGGAGCTCGGGGGACCATCAGGGATGTCGGGGATCGAACCCAGGTCAACCATGTGCAAGGCAAACGCCCTGCCCACTGGACTATCTCTCTGACCCCTTGTCCTGGATCCTTGAACCACTCTTCCGGGTCCTCGGGAAGGAGACCCTGCAGGGGCAGACGTGAGGGCAGGAAAAGGAATTAGGGGTCCTGTGAGTCCTGCCCGCAGGAGTTGGAGGAAAATGGGGGGCCCGGCGGGTCCCTGGGGACCACCCTGCTTCCCTGCCTCCCCTCTCTGGCCTCCTCCCAAGTGACACATGACACGGCCCCCCAGCTGAACGCAAGGAACAGGAAGGCCGACCAGGGGATTCCCACATGACCCTAGGGGCCCCCCGAGTTGGTGCTGGAGGCACCCCACTCTTGTCTGCCTTCCTTTCTACCTCCTA